AATTTTAGAACAAAAAAATAAAAGAAAATACTCTAAAGGAAACTTACGTATTTTTTCAATAAATTTGGATTAAACCGTAAAATAAAACAATAAAAGAACTTTTGACTATACATACAGCTAATCCAAATCATTAAATTATATATCGTAACAAAACACTAGCGCACGTAGTGAGTAAATGGATAACTAATTGAGAGCTAGGGAAAGTAAATTTAGAGCGAGGGAAAATCAGCTGATCGATTTTCCCTCGCCCTAAATTAGAGCTTGGGAAACGACTACTTTCATTGATGTCAGATGTTTTCGAAAATAGTTACTTTCGTTAAGGAGTGATGAAAAATACTTACCAGGAAGATATATGTACATTGCTGACTTCATGTCAAGATGTGGAACTAAAACTAAACTAACGAACCCAAAGATTTTCTAATGGATGATTTCGTTCACACTGTGGAAGTTCACGAAATAACTGAAGACGAACCTAGACTAAAACTTTTTCAATCCAAAACTAAGTCAGATAATATTTTAACCTCGGTAAGTGAGTATCTACATAACTGTTGGCCGGATCCAAAAGTACTTGAGGGTGAGATAAAACATTTTTTTAATATCAGACAAGACCTGCAGGTTAATGATGATTTAATTTATTATGGCGAAAGATTAGTTGTACCCCAAAGTTTGCGAAAGTTTGTATTAGATTCTCTACATGAAAATCATTTAGGATCCCCTAAAATCAACAAAAAATGAAACAATTGTTTTATTGGCCAGGTATGACTTCTGATGTAATAAATGTAGTGTCAACATGCAAAATTTGGTAATTGTGGACTATTACTCTCGGTGGATTGAGGCTCTGAAGATAAGTTCAAAAAGTAGTTCAGTTATTATTTCTAAGCTTAAAGAAGTATTTTCTAGATTTGGGATACCTAGAACACTGATTGCTGATAATATGCCTTTCAACAGTATCGAGTTTAAGCAGTTTTCTCAGGAATGGAATGTAACAATCATAACAACAAGTCCATACTATCCCCAATCAAATGGATTAGTGGAAAAATCTGTCGGAATAGTGAAAGAAATGTTAAAAAAATGTCAAGAAACAAAACAAGATCTGCAGTTATACTTATTAAACTACAGGAACAGCCCAATATCTAACCTTGAAGTTTCTCCAGCTCAGCTTCTTAAGAGCAGACACTTAAGAAGTAAAATTCTAATGAGAGAAGAACTATTAAAACCCAAACTTGTTGAGGACAGCATCTATGAAAAAATGATAGAAACTCAGAAAGCACAAAAGTCATATTATGATAGAAAGTCTTAAAACCGTGAAGATAGCTTTACTGAAGAGCAGGAGGTATGGGTTCAAGATGTATTCAATAAAACATGGGAAGAAGGAGTAATAGAGAAGAAACTTCAACAACCCAGATCTTATTTAGTTTCTATTAAAGATAAGGGTATAAAAAGAAGAAATAATCTAATATATAAAATTCTCGTGTCACAGTGTTTGTCTGCAAACTCCTCCGGAACGACTTCACCGATCGTAATGAAATTTGGTGTGTAGATTCTGTAGGTATGCGAATCGGACGTAAACTATTTCCCGTTTCGAAATTCTTAAAAGGGCTCCGCCCCAGTGGCTCTGGAGTTTCCCATGTTAACCTTATGAGAAATGGAATTAATGAATCTTAACAGCTGTTTCAATTAAACAAGTTGGTTCTGTTCTATGATGTTCAATAGCATTAAAGTTACAAGGATTACCAACAGGGTGCAGCACTATTATTTCTTTTACATTTATGACAACAGCTAATTTGCAACCAAAAGGTGAGTGAGCGTAGCGAACGAACTTCAACCTGGAGGCGAGTGAGCGTAGCGAACGAGCTAACCTGGAGGCGAGTTAGCGTAGCGAACGAGCTAACCTGGAGGCGAGTTAGCGTAGCGAACGAGCTCCAACCTAAAGGCAAGTGAGCGCAGCGAACGAGCTCCAACCCAAAGGTGAGTGAGCGTAGCGAACGAACTTCAACCAGGACGTGATTGAGCGATGCGAACGAGATCATCTTGAAAATTAAACGTAACAGTACTTTCTTTCCATCGGTCTGTCTTAGGGGAAACCTATAACTTAGGCGATACGAAGTTTGCCGGGTCAGCTAGTAGATTTATAAAAAAAAGATTAGGACTCCAAGCTCAAGGGGAAGATGACAAATAACATATGTTTAATATTCATTTGTTTATGTTGTGTTTGTGAATATTTACTTTTGGTTTCTAATAAAGAGAGTTAATACAAAACTATGATTTTAGTTTATTAATCAGTCTATATACGTGTTAAAAAATAGCTGTTCTCAATTGCCATACGTAGGACGCACTAGCATCTCGTATATATTAAAACGTGACAGGGATTTTTATTTCACGATTCTGAATCAACCACTTGACGGTTTTTCATGATTTTTGTGTTGAAAGAAAAATAATTGTGAGAACCAGGGAATGTCGAAGCCATAATTTTAGGTTATGGTTTCAGTTTTTTTTTTTTTTATTAAGTTTGAAATTTTAAAAAGTCTAGCAGCCGACGCTAACATTCTACTCCACTTTTTTTGTATAATACCATTTGCTTAACGTAACAGCTGTAAACATTCAGCGTTTTTGACACAAATTCAGTATTTGGATGAAAATGAAATGACATACGTAGAATTGACTTATTTATACTATGTGTAATGCAACAATCATTGACACGTTCATTTATACGGTAAGAGGATGAGTGTTTAGTTAAATATACATAGTAAAATACTAGATGTTCTAATTTATTTTTTTGAGCAGTCTTTAAAATATTCAGTTTGTTTTAGTACGAGTACAATATAATTTATTTGAACTAACAGCTAGTTGAATGGAAGATTTTTTATAGAACTTTGAGGTTAGTTTTTTACTCTGTGATTTTGTCATTGATTATAGGAAATAAGTAAGATTCTATAACCATTGCTGTATATGAATCGAAGCTCATGAATCTTCGAAAGAAAAATTATTTTATTACTTGACTTTTTGAGGAAAGGTTAGGAAAATAACAATGAAATACGGTATATGTTTTAATTCATCTTGGCAGCTTTTTCTTTGGTACTATAAATTTTGAACTGCTTACACTATGCTTGAATTAGTAATAGACACGCTAGTAATGGACTACTCTATTCCCGTACGTAGGACGGGCCAACAGCTCGTACTATATAGGTAACTAAAATATTATTTGAAATACGTTTTTGTATTAAATATCTAATAATGCCAAAATCTAAAAAAAAAAAAACTGCCCAGGCATTATATCGTAATACACTTACTCGGACTTTAAGAGGTTAATAGCTTTGTACAAAATAAATTAATTTGCATTGTCAAAATTACATAACAAGAAAACTATAACAATTTACTTATTCTCCATAAGAATAACATGGAAATTTTAAATTTACAATTTTTGAATTCTCTCCCTAATATACTTATTTGTTTTTTAAGTTTTTAAAATGATTTATAGAGAAATTGGAAAATTTTATGTTTTGGGGTAAACAATTAGAAAGTCCGATTTTTACCCAATAAAACCCTGTTCCCATGGTCTGATCATGCTGGTTCGCGAACTCATTCAAGTTTATTCCGCCCGTCACCTTGAAGCCAAATTTCATGAAAATTGGATAAAGATTACTCAAATTACAGTAGACTATAGATAAATATGTATTTGGTGAGCCAATAAATAAATTTAAATTATCAAGATTTTTGAATTATGAAGTGTTTGATTTATCAGAAAAAAATAAACCATTTGAATTACAGAGAGTTCCACTGTACAACTTCTGACTTGACTTCACTACTTTCTACTGCCGCTATCACTTCATTTTTCCCCAAATGTAAAGGGATTTGCATTTATGATTAGGTTCCATGACAAAACAACAAAGTATTTAGCTTCGGCCACAGTTCTGCACAACATAAGGCTTCAACGAAACAGAACTTAGCGAACTACAAAACTAAGATAAAAAACACGTCCACTGTGCATGACGAGTAATCTCGTCACTACCGACGCGCTACTAGTATACTCACTCGTCAAAGCACCATTTACAAACTATTGTCCCAATGGGAGGTTAGCCACTGCCGTGAGACGTTGTTTCCGTTGCTGCTTATTGTTCCAGTGTTATACTTCAATCTGGTAGAATTCGTTTTCAGATCGGAATATTTTATCTGTGGTAGGAATTGTTAAACATTTATTATAGTGTGGAGTTTAGGCTTGGATCTAATGACATGCAATAGAATAACGATAATGAATGTACTGTAAGCATTGTGGAAGGAACCTAACATAAAAATTGTGCTTGACCGCAAACACTGTCAACCAGACGATACCTACCTCCTGCTCTATCTAAACATAAAACGTGCAAAACTACAGTGGAACCGAATGTATAGTTGTCTGTTATAACATGAAGGGAGTCCTGACTTTGAATTATAGAATGTTTTGCTGACGGAAATTTGAATTACTGCATGACTTTGAATTATAGAGTGTTTTGACGGCGAAACTTCAAATTACTGCGTGTTCCAAATTAGCCTGCCTTTTATTTGGACTTTAAAATACTGAGTGTATCAAAATACACGGTAAAAATTTGAAATATTGAGAGATACTCTACGGACTGAGCTTTTATTTGGAATTATCGAAAGTTTCCATTTATTGAGTGTTTGAATTAGCAAGAGTGGACTGCATTACCTTCTTGTTCACAGGATATATATACACCGTTTGGACGTATACATAGAGGCCTACATATCTACAATATTGAACAAATAATGTTTTTGCCCACTAGGGACAATTGATCAAATATACCAGTCCCGGCTCTAGGTCTTAGCTACTTCACATCAAAATGAAAAAGTATATCGGTCCTGGGTCTAGGTCTTACCGTGCCACCTCTATAGTTACTTCCCCATAGAGAAATCCTCTGAAAGTAATTTCTTGTAATTTACTTGTAAGCATACACTATATTTTATACAGTGCTACTTTAATAACTTGATCATTTTTATTGTTACAGGGGAAACAAGAAAACCTAAAACAAGCGAGTATTTGGAAAAATGGAATTTGGGGAACAAGGCTTCCTAGTAAATAAATCCCTATATTAAATAATATAACATTTTTGCATATTTTGTATCATAGCCTAATGCCTTCAGTCCTCATTGATAGGCTTATAAATTGTTGAAATTAATTGTTTGTTATCTATATTATTAATACGCTACATGAAACTTTTGTTTTTTTAAGGCTTTTTGTTTTAAGATTTAACCCCGCATTATGTACCAAAATATTCATCTAGGTGTGTAGATTTGCAAACTGACCTTACATTAAAAAAAAGTCCCTTGGGCTCTGCCCCAGTGGCTTTTAAAGTTCCCATGTTATCCTTATGAAGAACATATTTGTTTACATTATGATCAGCTGGATAATTTAATTGCTGTTAATAATTTAGTTGCAATTTAAGGAAACGTGTGCTACAAACATTGGCCTTCCAGCTTGTGTAAGGGTAGCTGCTATAGGTGATTCAGATGCATCTGTTTCTACAGTAAATGGAATATTCTCTTCAACTGCAGACATACTGGAGTTTGCTATTCCTTCTTTTAATGTCTTAAAAGCCAATATTTCGTCACAGCCTACTGGGAATGATATGACTGTAGTAAGACATTGAACCTTCTCTGAGAATTTAGGAATCCACTTTGAGTAATAGGACAACATGCCAAGAGCTCTTTTGAGGCTCGCATTATGAGTTGGAACGGGGAAATTCAAGAAATTTGGCAAGCGGTCAGGATCAGGATGAATGGACATGTTTTCTACAATATATCCCAGAACTGGAATGCTGGTCAACGAAAACTTCAGATGCGTCAGCAGCTTTGTCTGTGGGTACTCGTTGCCATCTCATACCATGTCAACAATAATACAGTGGCCAATATTTGATGAAACATGGCTTGTTGATGCCATCGATATTTCATGCTTTGTTGGGTATTTAGAAATATTGAATCTTTTCACAGTAGCTTCAGATATAAAACTGTCGGAACTCCCAGTAACAATGAGTGCATCTACTGGTTTGCCATTTGACATCAGTGACACTGTAGCTTTTGAAATACATTTTTGTGAGGCAGCAGCAGCACAAAAGTGTACACTAGTTGTAGAAAAAGTGTGATAGTGATTGTGGTGTTATTAATTAACCACCGTATAAAAATACTGTTCCAAAAATGTTCATTTTGATTAATTAGATAGTTTCTTCACGTGGTGTCAGGTTGAAAGAAATATGGGAAGCCGAAATAAAAGAACATCTAAAAGAAATTGGAAGAAGGGAGATTACCTACAAAAGGAATTTGATCTTGAATCAAGTGAAGATGAGTCCAAGCCTAGAAATCAGGTTTGTTCAAAGAACGGTGTAAGAGATAAAACCTCAACTGAAGCTTCGAGGGTTACTACAGTTTCAGGTATGCAGACTCAAATTTCTCCACCAGAAGCTTTTGATTTTCAAAATCCTGCCTTATGGCCTCGTTGGATGAAAAGGTTTGAGAGGTACAGGATTGCTTCAGAGCTTTGCTTCAAGCCTGACAGTCAACAAATTAGTATGCTCTTGTATACTCTAGGTGACAAAGGTGAGGATCTTTTCCGTACTTTTGGTATTTTTGCTGAGAATAATCTTCAGTATGAAGAAGTTGTTAAAAGTTTCAGTGATTTCTTAGAAGTCAAATGTAACATTGTATATGAACGTGCCAATTTTCTTAAGAGAAGACAAGGGGCCGATGAAACAGTAGATTCTTTTATAAATGACCTTCATAAATTAGCTGAAACGTGTGAATTTGGAAATTTAAAGGAAGAGCTGTTACGTGATTTGATTGTAATTGGAGTCAATAATCCAAAACTTTCAGAGACTACAAATGGACGATTCACTAACTTTAAGGAAGGCTATCAACAAAGCTCGGAAATCCGAGTCTATTTTGAAACAGCAAAATGTAGTAAGAGATTGAGTAGGCGACATATCAAATTCAATTAGTCAAGATGAGGTAGTAGGAGCCGTTAGCAGTAAAGTAGGCTCTTTCAGAAACAAGTTGAGATGCAACAGATGTAACCTATATCATAAGTATAGGGAGTGCCCAGCACATAAAGTTGAGTGTTTTAGATGTGGTGAGAAGGGACATTTTGCTAAGTGTTGTATAAAACAAGGACAGAAAACAATACGGGAAGTTGAGGACAACAACGGAAATGACACTTCAAATTTTTGTTTGGGTGAAATTCAGGTAATGAAGTACAGCAAAGAATGTCCTGTAGTTGAAATAGAAATCAATGAACATAAAGTTTGGTTTAAAATGGATACAGGGGCCGATGTATCAGTCATTGGAGAACATCAGGCTCGATCCCTCGGTCTCCAATTACAAGGTTGTGATCGTGTATTGTATGGACCAGGCAAAAATAGGCTCAACATTCTGGGAGTAGCTAAGGTTCTTCTTAAATATAATGACCGAGTACTATCAGAAGATTTGTACGTGCTAGGTAAACAAAATTCTTCGTTGCTAAGCCGAAATGCACTACTTAGTTTAGGTCTGATAACCTTTAATGTCAATTTAATTGATAAAGAGGAAGTTGAACAGTTATGCCCAAAGGTGTTCAATGGGATGGGCAGTCTAAACAGTACATACAAGATTAAACTACAAGAAAACGCTCAACCTTATGCAGTAATGTCCCCCAGAAGAGTGGCTGTATCTCTATACAAACCAGTAAGAGAAGAGCTAGATAAAATGATAAAAGAAGGTGTAATTGAAGCCATATCAGAACCAACAGAATGGTGTTCACCCATTGTAGTAGTGCCTCGTGTAGATGGTAGAATAAGACTATGTGTAGATTACACAAAACTGAATACTTACGTGCAAAGAGAACATTTACAACTACCATCAGTAGAAGAATCCTTGGCTAAGATTGAAGGAGGTAAATATTTCAGTAAATTGGACTCAGCTAATGGATTTTGGCAAATACCTCTTGATGAAAGTTCATACAAGTTAACAACTTTCATTACTCCATTCGGAAGGTATTATTTCAAAAGGCTACCATTTGGAATTTGTTCTGGCCCAGAGGTATTCCAAAAGAGGATAAGTCAGATATTAGCAGACATTCCAGGAGTGATTAACCAGGCTGACGACATATTGGTTGTAGGGAATACAGAAGAGGAACACGATACTAGATTAAAGCTTTTGATTGAAAGATTGACAGAACACACAGTGACTCTTAATAAAAACAAGTGTTTATTTGGTCTCACAAGTGTAACATTCCTTGGGCATTTAATTACTCAAGATGGTATAAGCCCAGATCCAGAAAAGATTAAGGCAATTTCTTCTATGAAGGAGCCAACTTGTGTTTCAGAGCTGAGACAGTTTTTAGGAATGGTGAATCAACTAATGAAATTTGTACCAAACCTAGTAGAAATGAAGGACGCGTTGCAGAAAGTCAACAGTCCCGGAAGGTCAAATAATTTAAACCTGTGCCGCTAGGTCAAAAACTACAATGTTTGCAGTGTCTGTAGATCAAAAATCCCAGAAAGTCAAATAGTACAGTCCGGGCTAAAAGTTTAGTCTATTTTAAAGCAATTGACTTATTGGGAATTTGACTTAATGCAACAGCAGTTTTAATATAACGAAATAAGATAAAATATAAGTTCAGTTTCGCTGAGTCAACAGTGCCGGAAGGTCAAAAGTATAATCTGTTAAAAACAACGATAGTCCTCTCGACGCATGTCTTCAATAATTTCGTGTTTTGGTGTTCTTAAAGTTGTGCTAAAATTTTGAAATTTGGCACAGAGCTTCTTGGTTAGTCCTACTCGATGACTATTTTGTTGGAACTTTAAACTATTTACCGATCTAATTAATAAAAAATGATTTGTATGGTGAAATAGTTTTAAATCGTGATTTCTAACATGAAAAAGTTAGCATGCGAGATTTTTTTTTGTTTTTGGGTTAGAGAGGTTTTGTCTGTGGCAAAGTTGTAGCCAAAAGTGTAATGCGTAAAATATATTTTTTTGAATTTTTTACAATCAGTGGTTCAGTAGATAACTTGGGTTGAAGAGGACGGCAAATGTAGCATTTCGCAACGCATGGAAAGAACTACATCGTACGATGCGACTGCTGAGTGGACTTTTAATTTATCTAATTTAATTTATCTAAGGACAAGAAAAAGGTGAATATACAGATCACCAGTACATTCATATTATTTATAAAACATCTTTCTTTATTACCAGCTAACATTTTTCACTTATAAGAATACATCATAAACAGGGTGTTAAAATAAGCGGGGAGATACTTTACCTAGTAATTCCTTGGGTCAAAATAAACAGAAAATCAAGGATAACATTTTTTCCAAAATAATTTCGTTAACCAGATATCCGCCATTTTGTATTTTTTACATACAAATATTTATCTTTGCACTTTTCCAACCGATGTTTATCAAACTTGGTATGTATGTTAAGGTAGGAGAGACCCATGTTATAAACAAAGATTCATCTCGATTCACCCTAAAATTTCAAAATTTAACACTTAACTACAATATAATATACTCTACTACACCACAATATTTACGTATCACCATAAATCTTTAACAAAATAAAACTATCATTTTTAAAAACCAAAGTAAATCAATATAATATTTCTTTTTTGAAAAATATATTTAAAAAACAGGCGATGGTAAAATAACGACAGGCGAGTTTCGATCTGGGTGTTTCAGGTTTGAATCTAGGAGGATTTAACATTAATTAACATTAATGTTTAATCCTCCTAGGTTTGAACTGATTGAGAGGAATACATGAAACCGAAGGGGGGAGGTAGCAACAAGTGCACTAGTATTTACTAGTGTCCAATTACAATTTGATGGATTTAACCAAAACCTTTTCTATTTCACTTATTTTCAGCTGTTAAATTTCAAACGATACGTTTTAGCGACATCATTAACGTTATTATCATCATCCTCGTTTGAGTTTGGGTTTGCAGCAATGTATTTTTATGAATAAAACCTTTAATTTGATACCAAACTTGACCTCTGCTGCTATTAATTGACTGTATGCACTATTAATTAACAGCTGTGTCTAAGGATTATGTCGGCCTTAGTCACAAACAGGACAACAAGATCGCTCCACTCATCCCACACTCATCTCCATTCATACTTGGCTTAAAATGCATACATTTTGTATGGTCGCCATTTCAAAGCAACATGGCTACATTATCAATGACAAACGTGGAAAACCTTATACGAG